AGAACACACCACACAATCTTCTACCGGATTTCGTTTATTCGGACGTTTTGCTGAACGTTGTAGTTGGCGGAGCAGCTGCGCTAATTAAAGCGCTTCAAGACGCGCAGACGGGGGAAGCGAGCCGGCGTGCTCGTGAAGCTCAGGAAGCGCGGATTCAGAACGGTGCTGCCTAGCGTCCATCTGGCGAATCTCCGCTCTCTACCCAATAAAACGAACGAACTTCTTCTGCTCTCCTCTTATCTATGCACAATCAGCTTGTAACACTCCAAAGAGAAAGGAAAACTTGAAATCGCATCATATGACCCCTTTAATTTCTAAAAATCAGTAATTCAGTGCATTTGAATGGTGTATTTTGAGCTTGAACGTGTCTATGCCCAATCACTTTCATTATTAGTAAATGATGACAGACTTAATTTTTGGGTGAACTATTGCTTTAATATGATGCAAGCACAAAGTTTACAGTGTCCATTCTGTGCCATCTTAAGAAACACATTCAAACAAGCTACACTTTATAACTGGGAATAATCAGTAACGCTTTCATCAGCTAAGATGTTGATTAATCAGTGAAGATCAGTGAGGTATTGATAAAGAGCGTTTATAAATCTAATGCAGGGTGTAACTGATAAAGACAAGCTAAAGTCCACTGTGATCGAGTGAGAGAGAGAGAGAGAAAAACTGTAGTCATCGTGTAACGTGTGATTACTTGAGTAGCCAGATAAACTGAGAGATCTCAGAGCACTGCTTGTGTCTTGTCAGATCACTGATCATATCTAGAGGGAAACAGCCATCGTGCAGCAAAACTAAAAATGCTGTTGACTTTTACAAGAACCTGAGGAAAGAAATAGAAAAGACAGCAGATATTTTTTCCATTGAAAGCAAAAACTGAAATCCCGAGTAATCCTTAAAGTCCGTGTAAAGTCAATATTAAATGTGTGTTCTGAGTTTATCACACCACAGAAAAATGTGTTATTAACCACCCAGCCAAATTTGAATGCTAAAAAACCCCCCAAATTAATAAAATAAGCTATCAAAATCTTGAAAAAATAAGCAGTATTCTCTGCTCTCAGACGCTGGGGGCGTGTCCGCTGGCGGCGCTGAAACCACGCCCACTCGCAGAAAAGCTGCCGTCTCTCTCTCAACTGTCTTCCTCTTATTTAAATGAGGAAACCAAGCTGTTTTGTAAATTATTGCAACCAGGTATTATGCATTTACGTGACGAAGGCATAGCTAGCTAGCAACCTTTAGGCCAGGGGTGCCCAAACTCGGTCCTGGAGGGCCGGTGTCCTGCAGAGTTTAGCTCCAACCCCAATTAAACACACCTGAACCAGCTAATCAAGCTCTTACTAGACATACTAGAAACTTTGCGGCAGGTGTGTTGAGGGAAGTTGGATCTAAACTCTGCAGGACACTGGCCCTCCAGGACTGAGTTTGGGCACCACTGCTCTAGGCTATAGTAACGGACAGCAGTAACTTGCGATTGAGCGGGCAAACCACTGCGCTGTAGTTATTAGGTGTGTTCGACTTGAAGCAGGACTGTGCAGAACAATCAGTGTATGACACGAGAGCAATTCGAAAGCATGAGGAGCCGTTTGCTCTCTATTAGCTCTGTACTTTGATGTCACACACGGATCGATCTGCGCAGTGCTGCTTCAAGTCGAACACACCTCTTACAGTGTTAGGGGAGGGGCCATGCTCGGTGGCTCCATTGCGTCATCGAGCCACCGTTTTAGCACCGCCCAAAAAATCTTGAACACAGAATTAGTGAAAAACTGTTTAACGGTTTAACTCCACAATTCAGTACTACATACTTCAGAGTCTTTGTAATGTGTTTTACATTTCTAACATCTATAATGTATTTAGAAACAATCCTCAGAATTCTCTTTACACGGACTTTAAAGGGGTCATAGGATGCCCATTTTCCACAAGTTGATATGATTCTTTAGGGTCTTAATGAAAAGTCTGTAACATAGTTTGGTTAAAATTTCTCAATGGTAGTGTAAAAAAAACCTTTTTTTACCCTGTCAAAAACAGATCTTTTCAAATCAGGCCGTTTTTGTAGCATTTTCCTTTAAATGTTAATGAGCTCGAGAAAGGGGAAAACATTTAACCACATTTAACCACTGGGTGGATTTTTATCATTATAGGGTGGTTGTGTACACACACTGCCAACACACATTTCAGTTCAAACAACTTGTAAAAGTGCATGTAGCATCATATGACCCTTTTAAACAGTGAGGAACAGACTGAGGTTTAAGACATTATTCACTGATAATCTTCCACATGTCAAAGATCTGCAATCTCATTTGCATTCAGCTTAAAAAATGATATCAAATGAAGTTTGATATTGTCAATAATGATTTAAAATTCAGACTGTTCCTCACACAAAGTTATCAAATGACTTCAAATGACTTAATATAAAGCGAACAAGGCATATATACCACTTTCATGGTGATTTATGGTGTTTTTTTGTACTTGTTGGAGATTGGAACAGAGCAGCATGGAAAAGAAAAACGGTATACACTACCATTTAAAAGTTTGGGGTCATTCATTTTTATTTTTAAAGAAATTAATACTTGTATTCATAAGGGATGCATTAAATTGATCAACGGTGACATAATTATAATGTTACAAAAGATTTCTGTTTTAAATAAATGCCATTCTATTGAGCCATTTATCAAAGAATTCTGAAAAAATGTATCAAATATAAAGTTAAACTGATTTCAATATGGATAATAATAAGAAATGTTTTATGAGCAGCAAATCAGCAAATTACAATGATTTCTGAAGGATCATGTGACACCGAAGACTGGAGTAATGATGCTGAAAATTCAGCATTGCATCACAAAAATGTATTACATTTTAAAATACATTACGATATAAAACATTTATTTTAAACTGTAATAATTTTTCACAATTTTTACTGTAATTTGAATCAAATAAATGCAGCCTTGGTGAGCATAAGAGACAAGGTGACAGAATTTAGATTTGAGGGGGAGGGGGAATAAATCCTATTTTATTTTATTTGGTTATAAAACGCCTGGATCCAGATGTGTCTGTGACTGTAGCTGTATAAACTCACCATTTGATGCGGAATGTTTCAGTATCTCCTCTGCTCTACTCGCCCTTTGGATTCTGTGTGTTGCCCACTGCAAAAACAGCAGGCAA